GAGAAGATGAGAGGATGGAAGCTGTTCTATGACTGCATTCTGTCACTGACTGATGATATGATTCTAAGAAAGCCGAAACCTTGCATATAGACACTTGTTCATTACTCGGCATAGTGGCAAACCCAAAGAGTTTATACAATTGAAGGAAAGGTTCACCATAGTTCGAACGTCGAACGATAAGAGATCAGTGATGGTTTTTTGAACTCCTTGAATCAAAATGCTTTTGTGATTGTTCTTTCTTACAAGTCACTTTGGTATCCATCGAAGACACTTTCACAATTGGCCTGTCATGTAATTATTGGGAATTGAACAATCCCTGAAAGCCCAGCTTATTGAAGCCTACTCATGAAAATCAATATTTTCAATTTTATGCTGCAAAAATTGCCAAAATATCCAAGATTTTTTCCGAAATTAAGTTACATAATCTTCAGAATGGGTATTGGGGGGGGGGGTTGGTTGTTGTCGAGACTCGTTCAAGTGCAGGCAGCTCATCCCCAGTAATGATGGTCAGCTTGGCTGCAAGTTAGATTTCTTGACATGGATATCAAACCCGCTAAGCAACCAAAAAGCATCTTGCCACTCCAACAATTAGAACAAACCATGAAACCATGTAAGGGAAATAAAAAACTGCAATCATCCCTACAAATGGCTATTAGAACGAATAGCTTTTAAAAAAAGTATTTGATTTGGAATTGTGAAAAATAGGCCATGCAGATTTCCAGAGGCCCAAGAATCTTCTTGCAATAATACAGTAATCCTTGCCTCAATTTTTGCCTGAATTGTTTTGACTTTCATTTTCACTTTGTCAAATTGACTTTACCAAGTTTCTAATTCTCAAATGCTAATTGACACTATGAAGCTCTTATCATTGCTTCTTGATTATTGCTATTTAGTATAATTATAGACAAACTTTTATAACATATTTTGATGCATTAAATAAATTCGAATTTGAATTTGAATTGAAGATAGGTTTGCTTGAGATTTGCAACATGCTGCTCTGAAAGTTGCAAAGTATGTATATTTGGACAGGAAGATTTTTTTCTGTGTTGAACTTGAATTAATTTGGCCTTTTTTATCAAATGCTACAAGATAGGCATGCTAAAGCCATAACATTTCAGAAACGATGATTGTCCTGCTTGAAAGGATCATATTTAAGACAACATTACTACGGCAGACGACGAACAAGGTTAAGGCAGACAAAGGCAAAGCAAACAATGACAAGTCTTTGTATAACAATCTACCTCTATTGTATATTGTATATTGTATATTGAGAGTGATCAAGAAGGCGCAATGGGCGGCTTTATTTGAGGAACTGCTTGTGGGATTCTGCTTGGGTTGGCTGGATTCTTTAGACAATTGTGAGGGGACTAGCGCGAACGCAGGTCCCCACTACCAGAAATTGTACGGTCGAGTTACCCACGTTTGGGGTAATCGCAGGGGTCAGCCCAACCGAACTGCAATGGAAGGGCCTCACCCTGGAAGAAACGCCTTCTTGATCACGTTGTCTTCCCCGTCAGGTAAGTATGAACTACCATTTTGGCTATTGACAACTCGGCGGCTGCAGAAACAAGCCGACACATGTGGGAAGGCTGTTTCAGTACTCTCTGAATAGATCGATATGTTGAATATTGAGTGAAGAATGTTCAGTCTGACGAGGAAGATGATCAAGTACTGAAATATACTGAAATATAAAACTGATGTACTCACCATCCTTTTCGTGAAGAAAAACTAATCTTGCATTTTGCTCGATAAGTCGTGAGTCAGCCAGCAGTCGTCTGAAATTGAAAATAAGCCTTGAATTTTTGAGCACACAAAGAGGGGTAGCTAGAAATGACTGACTACTAAACAGGCAGGCAGACAAAAAAGCAAGATCAGAAGAACACAAAAACACAACACGTTGAGGGCTTCGCAGTCTGTGTATATTTGATTAACAATCATAAATAAAACTATGTCTAGTACAAGGTTTAAACTACTTAACTACTATGGAAAAGCAACCAACTACATACAATGTTAGCTAGCTCCTAGTTAACATTGTAGTTAGTTAGCCAGTCATATCAACAATATGGACTTGAATGATTGCAACTGTGAAAATGTGAAAATCGTTGTTTTCTTGCCAATTGATGAAAAGGGGCTGGGCCACCCATGGCTGTACTGCAATGCCAGGGCAACCCGTGCTCGCGGTGAGGCAAGCCTCATGCCGACAAGCTAGTTCCAAAAATCAGTTTAATATTTGAGCGCCCTTGGGCGCATATCAGATATTAAGCTGATAAGAACAGATACTACACTTGATCTTAGCCAAAAGGCCGAGAAGCGATACCCAGTCTCATGTCTTCAGTTCAGACTTAATTGGTGGGGAGGGAATGAACAAGAGGTGTTGCCTGGAGCGCGGAAGAGAAAGGGAGAGAAAGGGAAAAAGAGAGAGAAAGGGAGAAAAGAGAGAAAGAGGAGAGAGAGAAAGAGAAAAGAAAGAAAAGAGAAAAAAAGGAGTAAAAAGCGCGGAAAAAAGTTTGACCTTTGACCTTTGGCATTTGCCCTTTGACCCATCGACCTTTGACCTTTGACCATCTGGCCTTTGACCTTTTGAGTTACAGTCATTGTGTCTATTCCCACAAGTGACACGTATCAGAATTGTTTTTTGGTATAAATCAGTTACAATTTAAGTTTCTGCAAGTCGCTGGATATTGAAGTGAATTGGTACGAGTTAATGCAAATGGTAGGTTTTGTTGGATGTTGTGATGGTCTAAATGGGCCAAGAATATTCTAAACAATATGCTGTTCTAAATGTTACCAGGCTGGAAGACATGTATGGTGTTGCTTGTCACTTGGTGTAAAATATAAATGAATTCATCGATGTTTTCGGTCACTAGTTGCAAGTTTTCCAGCTAGAAAGACGCTAGAAGAAAGCACTCCTTGAAATACTTGGTTCGGTGAGTTTCTTTCAATTTCTCTTTTTTAATTCTTTAAATTTTAGGCATAGTTATTTGCCCTTTGAAATCGAAAATTTAGGATCAATTATCCTCTATATTTATTTGTATTTACCTAATTAGTTTGACATCATGTAAACATCCTCATTTAATCATGGAAATAATCAGGAATAATCCTTTATATTATCCACATACACTGAATTGAAAGAGGAGCATACAAAACTTGGGGCCCTTCCAGTTAACTGAATAGCATTGGAAACAGGTTACAGATTAGAGGAAATTACATCTACAAATATTTTCTACCAACATTAATCTATCTAATGTATCAAATATGATACTGCCTTAGTAACCAATTAATTTCTAGAATGCAATAGTGTATAGTCCTCCACAGAAGAGTCACATCTTCTTATGCACAAGGGTAAAGTTTATGGGTTTAGAAGTTTTCTTGTGATCTGATACCTTTGCCTTCATCTAACATAATAACAATATGAAAAAGGGAATAAAGAACCATGTGTATCAGTCATATAGAGTAGTGGGATCAGGGGGGTCACTAACCTTGGCCATAAATAATAACTCAATTGAATAAATTTTCTAACTTCAAGTTTAAGGTTTCATATAATCATCAATCCTACAAACAATTCTTCACAACTACAATACAATTAGATAAATTAAGGAGGAGCTTTCTATATAGATAAACTCATCTAATAACAATACATAATATTCGATAAAATACAATTGTAAGTAATAATCCAGCCTCTCCATTACCACTAACTGTCATTTATAGAGACTATAATGCAAAAGTCTATGAATAAAGTCATTGATTGCCTGAGTGTTAAAGACATTTTTGTTAAGAATTGCTCATCTTTGTGGGCTTTTTATGTTGACAAGCTTCTTAATGTTATTGCACCAAAACATGTGATTGCAACAGTGCAACATACCACAATATCATACCACATTAGTGATCAAAAGTTTTCCATTTTCTAAGACTTTTAAAATTTATAAGAGATTTCCATTTTGATGCATTATGGTGTTGAGTTTTGCTGAAATTATATCAAATAGCAAACAGAGGTGATAGCCACCATACAATGGCATAGATAGGAATTCATAGGAGGGTAAGAAATTTATATTTTCTGACAAAAATCTAAAAAGCATCTATTAATTTTAACATGACATAATGATACTAAAACTGAAAAAGAAAAAATCTTCTGATATATTCAGATATTCTTTTCTTTATTTAGCTTCAAATTCTTTCATATCAAAATATAGCAATTAATTACAAAGACAAATTCAATTACTATGACCAGCAGTCTCAACGACAAGATTTTGTATTTTGATATATTTTGAGTCTTTTCAACACTTTTTAGCTCATAATTCTGGGTCAGCTTCTTACATGAATTTCAATCACGCCACATGGACCACTGTGTAAAAGTTAAAAGTTGACTCCCCTACATTACATTAGACCAAAGTATTACAAGTGCCTCCTCATATTACATTAGCCAATCAATATCATAGCTATCAACTTTTTAGAAGTCAGCTATCAACTTCTTACAAGTCAGTAGAGGTAAGGGCACAAGTAGAAACTTGCAATAGCAAAAGTATTAAACTACCCAAGGTGGCTTATGTGGCTCTCACCTGCAAATTGCTGGTAACTTGGGAATATGCATATGCATGCAAGTACAGTCACACTCATTTACTCATCAATTCTTGAGTGATAAGGTGTAAGCCCCTTAACAATCTGTTGACTTCCTTAAACAGTTTTGTTTATTTATAATTTTATAATTTCATCTATAATTGAGAACTTTCCTTTAGAGGTTCTGAAAATTTTGAGTTTCATTACATGAGCTTCACTACATGGTGAATGTTATAGTGAAGGTCTTATTTAACTTTATCTTTATCAAAAACTTTAACTTTCTACTTTGCAAGGATAAGAGTATTGTCAGTCACTTTCTGGTGGTTACACAGTGGAATAGGTACTAGACAGTCAAAGCAGTGTATATTTAAAGATATATATACATAAAGAAAAAATTAAATACACAAATTGGTTATTTTAAGTAGCTTGCTAAGCATCGCATGTTTGCATATGTGCATAAGTTTGCAGCAGAAAGATCTTTCCATCAACAATATATATTCTTATAAGAAACAAGAAATGGACAGTTGCTGCAAAAAAGATTGGATCAAAATTTATTTTCTCTCTTTTCTAAACAAATTCCATTTCTAAGAAAGCCAATTAATATCAGTTGAAATAGACAAATATGCCAGCCTCATTTAAAAACATTTGTTGCATATAAGATACTAATATGAAATGGTATGAGCTGATATGAAAATTTAGATATGAAAATAGTTCAAACTAATACATATAATTTACAAATCTGTTGGTTCACCTTCCTAACACATTTTACAGTTTACAGATTACTCTTACAGTGCTGTCTAGAGTTTTGAAAAGCCATGACTTTTTTCACATGGCAATGGTTGGTAGTTTCACATGGTTCAAAACAACCGCCATATATAGCTTTTCGCGGCTGACCCCTACACAAATCCTCTATTTCTTTCACAAATCCTCTAACCTGGGGGCCAGGGCCGCAGAGGGTCAAAGGATGAAGAACAGGGGAAAGGAATTGCGAAGGACAATAGAAATGAGGCTCTGGCACCCAGGGTAAAATTCCTCTTACGCTTATATTCTGTACCGAGAGGCGAGTAGAAAATGATTTACGTGTAAAACTGATTTTCCAAAGTAGCGAAAAAACAATAAACAGTATTGAAAAATTCCAAACTGAGTCTGTTCAGCATAATTTGCAAAATCTCCGACAAGCATTTCAGCATTCCAGGATAGGAATAAATTTTTCTCCAAGATAAACCCCGCCGGGGATAAAGGTTCCACATTTTGAGCACTGGCGAATTAAAATGCACATGTAGGTACAGATTTTGTGTTGTGCATATAATGATATATTTTTCATATTGAAATTTCATATTTTTCATTGAAACTTTTCATTGAATATTTTTCTTTATGCTGTAATGCCAGTTCCGTAACGTCTAAATCCAAGCATATTCTAGCGTGCACTTTTCAATGAGTGCCCTGCATGTTCATAGTCGATGCATCTGCGGGAGGCGCCAGCTTGTCTGGTGTCGGCTTGCCAAAGAACTAGCGTACGCTAAATTTCGCCCTATATCAGAGGCATAGGTTTTTCTGTTTATTCTGTTTTCCGCAAACCCGTATGCCTTTGTTGGGGCCCAGACCCTCCTTGGTATCTTCGTAAGACCCCACACAGTTGTTATTATTACATTCGGTATTGTAATACGTGCCGAGATACACGGCAGCATGCAGAGTTCTAATTATAATGTTGATTATAATGTTGATTTGATATTTGATTTAAAGCAGTGGTAAATTACATGTTTTGATTCTCCATAAGGACATACACATGGTAAATGTCAATCGACAAGTAACACTGATCATGATCATGATCATGTATGTGGTAACATGAAGTTAGTGAGGAGTTGGTTGGAGTTAAAGTTGAAGTATTGAGTTAGAATTGTGATCGGCGAAAATGTAAAATAAAACTAAAAGGTTTATACAAAACGGTGATTTTTTTCTGAATCTGCATCTTACACTTCGCTCATCATTAAATTTTAAGATAGGGGCACCATCAGAAATAGTGGTCCCAATGGCCTTTTAAATTATCGAGCTGAAAAATCTTCAACTTTTTTTCCTTGTGTACGGAAAATTTCTTAGCAATGCCCGACTTTGAAGGAAAACTTTGTGGAGAGATACACAAATACCCTCACGTGTATGATTCCTTGCTAGAGGACTGTTATTTGGAGGTGCAGCATGAAATTTCAGAAATCGATAGCTACCAAATTCAAAAGCTTGAAGACTTCAACTTAAAGGAAGTGTTCTTTCTTCAGCCTACTATGCATGAATGAGATTAAAAAGTTATAACATAATACTCTGTAAAAAATGATACAATAATTGCTAATGATCTCTTCCACCAAGAGATAATAGAGGAAAAGAGACAAACTTGATTTGGAGAATCAAATGGCACCTTTAGAGTAAGGACCTTCTGTCATTTTGGTAATAAAGACTTGCAACTACTACCTTTTATATTCTATTTGACCGTTCAATTTCAATACCGAGAAAGATGTTTGAAAAAGCATGACTCTAATACAACAAAGGTAAATAAAAATAAATTTAGAAATGTGCCTGCAGAAATTCCTGAGAATGAGTTTTTGTGCCTGCTAGCGCCGCGTGCTCAATCGCGCAGATTAATGAGGTCTGCCATAAAGTAGAGGTACAAAATGTTTGCGACCAAGGTTTAATTTTTCAACTGTAAGAGTAACCTTCCTCGGCAATTCGGCATTTTTTTAATACTTTCACGGATGTGGAATATTTTACCGTGCTAATTTTCGATTTTAACTCGCTCCTCGACACGTTTGTTTACTAACTGTTAGATGTCAAAATGAAACCTGTACAATTTTTTTCTGAGAAAACCAGACTCCGCAAAATAATACTTTAGGACCTAATGGTATTTCCTATGATTCTTAATTTTCCCTTGCTAGTGGTGTTGGAACATGACATGTGCTCGGTAAAGTGATTAATGCTATTTTCCTTATCGTTCGCTGCTTTTCTTTCGCTGTTTGTTATTTCATAACTTTGTTGAATTTTAGCCTACTGTGTTTCATATAAGGGTTGTTATTTTTTTGAAAAATGCGCGGGTACCACAAAATCACAAAATTATATACCGTAAAATTATACACTTACCAGGCGGAGCCATTGCCTCTCCACTTATAGATAGATATAGAATTTATATATAGATAAAACAACATATTACAACAAGATAACAGCAAAGTCATTGAACGAAAGTCGACAAGGGCGGACATGAACAACACGGAGAGGTACCATGTGTTGCTTGATGTCATATTTCTTGGAGAGCGTTCCCTGACCCTAGGCGACCTGTGTTTCGTTGATGCAGTCAAAAAACTTCTCCACTTGTATGACAGGACCGTGGATT